CGGATTCAGGGCGGGTAGTTTTCGAATTGTGGTTCTTGCCTTCGCACCACGTACATTCGTTTTAAAAAAAAGCTTGCAAGAATTTCACGGAGTGAGGGCGGGTGATTTTCAAAATGCGGCTCTCGTCTTAGCGCCGGGCACATTCGTTGCAAACATTTACGAAAGATTCACAGACTGAGGGCGGTTCCTTTTCAAAATGTGGCTCTCGCCTTAGCACCGCGCGCATTCGTGTCAAACATTCCCCAGAGTTCCACTGACGATCGTGGTGAAAGTACAAGCTATTCAAAACGACTCTGGATTTTCAGGGTGCAACAGTTACCTTTGAATCGCGTGTTGAAATCCCAGGAATTGTGTTATGACGCGACTCAGAACCGCCAAGGCGTAAAAATCAAGTCAACTCGTGGTGTCAAAGTTATGAGAACGGTGTTTTGGCACGCCTCAAGATGGTCACACCGCTGTCCCCAACGGGGCCAGTTCCCTCAGTGGGAATGACCGCTTGCACGGGCCCGTGCAGAGGGATCTTTGAGGGAGGGTGTCTTTCAGCATCGTCAGTGAGTCTTGGCTTTACACTGGTCCTCCTCCTCCTCCTCCTCCTCCTCCTCCTCCTCCTCCTCCTCCTCCTGTACCCGGAGGTTCTAAGATTCGGAGGTCTGTGGAGGTTCGTGGAGGTCATCGGTTTTTCCTAGACGTTGCTGGAGAGAGCAAGAGGAAGGGAAGGAAGCACGCTCCAAAGCGGCTCCCCTGAAACGAAACTCAGCTTAGGCTCAGAAATGCAGACTTCTCGGTTTCCAAGCTCCTGGGGAATTCGGCCCGCTGGGTCTTCCAGGACGGCAGCGTTCCCGGACCCCTCGGGCGAGAGGTAGGAGGAGGGGGAGGGGGAGGACGGGAGAAAAAGAGCGGAGGGAAACGGAGAAGGGGCGGGAGGAGGAAAAAGAGAGGAGGAGGTGAAGGACAAGACAGAAAGAAAAAGGGGGAACTGGGCAAGCTGAGCGTGCACGCACCGCGCGCCCCCAACCCCCCGGATACGGTTTTCCTCGCACCCAGAGACTTCCCCACGTCGGTATTGAGAACCCATCCGAGCTGCTTTTCGACTGCTTCCCTGTGGTAGGAAACGATACAAATCGCCCCGTGTCGTTGTCGATATCCTGTTGGTCGCCACGTCGACCCGAATGCCCGCCCGTCCGATGAGGCCGACGGAACCACTCTGGAGGCGCATGGACAAGCCCTGTGGGGTAAAATCAAGCTTCAACCACACGTCGATTGACAAAATTGTGCTTGGTCTTCCAATACACCTGGCCGACGATATTCCAAAAGAGATCGAAAACTTGTTGGGAGACCCAAACAAGCACCCCAAGCCGCCCAAGACGGCCGCATGGCATTTTACGGGGGCCCCAGGGTGTCGAGCGAGCAGAAACTGGCCGATGGCGGCTCGAAGACGGCATCCAGACCGCTCCTGAACCCCTCGGGGCGGCCGAACGACCCCCCAGGGCTCCCCCAGGACTCAGAACGCTGTGGAAGGCAAAGTCTCTCTAAAGCCTCCCCAACCCAACACCACGACATGCCTGGAGATCGTACTCGAGACGACAAACACCATCTCAAGAAAGCCCGCAAACCGCCCCCCTGAGGCCCTCGGCTCGGCCGCACGTCCTCGCCGAACTCCACTGCACTTTTTCCGTCGGAGCGCGGCAGAGGCGGTCCGCACGCGCGCTCAGCAGGCAGGGAGACGGCACAGGGCGCGTGCACACGAGACGCCACAAAGTCCAGCACCCCACAATGCACCAGCGCGCTCCACTACTCGCAAAGGAACTGCTCGCAAATGGCTTGGACCCGCCGCGGGGGGTGTGAGAGACGTCACATCGGGGCCAGCATGAGTTTTCCTGACGTTTGCGAAGAGGCACTTTGCGAGTAGTGGAACGCGCTCGGTGACACCGAGGCCCCCGAGAGGCCCTCGAATCGTCCTGAGACGGCCCCAAGACAATACCACAAAGCCACGGGACGGCCACGAGACGCCGGGGGCCCCCTTCTCGGCATCGCCCGAGGAACCTCGACCAACCAGCCTCCCCGCCCCTTCTATCCTGCATCGCTGAAAGCAATAGTGGAAGAGCGCGGCAGCCCGACTGGAGAGGCGAACGCCTTCAGAAACCGCCCCACCACGACACGAGCGTGGCGATCCCTGAGACGTTCGAGCGCACGGGGTGAGGCCCAGGACAGCCCAGGGAGCTAAGACCCGGCCCGTCCTGGTAGAGCTGAGGGCCCCACTCGTTCAGCCGCCGGGTGCTGGCCTCCTGCGGGGCCCCGGCGCGGGGGGGAGGCATCCCTCCCCTCCCCCTTGGCGGTTCCTCCTCCTCCTCCTCCTCCTCCTCCTCCTCCTCCTCCTCCTCCTCCATTTCCTCCTCCATTTCCTCCCCCGCCCCTTTTTGTCGATGGACGTCGGTCCTCCTCGTCGCACCACCCGACGGCTCGGCAGAGCGGCCCGAGCACGTCGCCCGAGGCCTCCCCACGGGGCACGCTCCGAAGTCCTGCCGTGCCCCTCCGAGCTCACACCAATGGGGGGGCGGCCGGACGTCAGGCTGCGGCTCCCGCTTCCGGCCGCACGGGGGGAGGGCGGCTCCCTTTTCCAGAGTGGGGCTCTTCGCTGGAGGCCTCGGTGGTCACGGCCAGAAGTGCCAACACGTGCAGCGCTTGCTCCAGATTTCGTAAGAAAGGGAGGGGGGTCTCATTTCGGGGGGGTCTCTTCCAGGCTATCTTGGAGGGCCTGGGGGGTCAGGGGACGATGTTTTGGAGGGTTCTCCCGCGGGGGAGGTCTGAAATGGCTTGTCTTGGAGGGTCTAGACCCCCTCCCTTTTATTACGAAATCTGGAGTAACCGGATGGGGGCCGTCCTTCTCACAGCGGGGGGTTCGCTGGACACCGCTCCGAACTGTCGGATCACAAAGGTAGCATGCCATGTTCCCGGCTAGGGGGATGCAGCGGAAGCCCGTTTTTTGAACCAAACGAAAGACTTGCACCGAAACAGCAGGTCCGTAGGATGCTGGCATTTCGTGGGGGCGCTTGTCGCAATGAAATGGCAGCTCGCAGGGACGTCCGGGGAGGGACTTCGGAAGAGAGGGAGCGTTGAACACAATTAGTGCATGTTGGGCTTCTTCTGGGTTTGCGTTTGTGGCCATCAGCAGCAGAATGCCAGAAGAAGAGGCTCAAACTGGCCCGATGCATCGTCAAGGGCCATTGCTTCTGCCCGGAGAGAACTGTGCACGGCCATTCGATGTAGGCCCCATGCACTGCAAACTGCTCAGGCGTCCATCCCTCCAGCGCTTGCCCCCAAAGTCCGATGATCCACGCCGCGGCTGCGCTGTCCCCCTCCCATAAGTTAGCCAACCGCCCGTCTGGATGATCACCTTGGAGCACTTGAGCGTGAGGGTGGTCGAGTTTCGTATCACCTCTCCCATGTCTTCCGCTCGTCCATGGTGCAATGGACTAGCCCATCTGCGACGCGATTTTGGTTGCAAAGCCACCACTGGACAGGGTCTTCGTGCAACTGGAGGGGGGGCGCCACCCGTCGTCCATGTACGGAATGCTCTGGTCCAACACCCGAGATATCAGGGGAGCGTAGGTCCTGTCGTAGAGGATAGCGCGCCCGCAAACCATCAGCCGTACTGATATGGAGTCTGTCGCGTACAGACAGCGTCTGTGTGACGACACCTAACATATGTTTGATACGAGGGGATATTGGAGTTCGTCGAGCCCAGGCTCCAAACTTTGAATGTCGAGGCGTTCTTTCGAATGGTCGTGGTCTGTCTGGCCGCTTTGCACAAGAAACTACACCGGGGTGTCGCTTTGACTCTCTCGCAAGACGCACATGATATAGGCAACTGCCACCGCGCGCAAACGTGAGCCATGAACGCCTTGCCCAAGCGTTCCCAATCAACCCGTGTCTGTGCCATCCCTTTGGCCACGCCAATCCCGCGCCAAGATGCTCGACGCGAGGGTCCTCCAATGTTGATCTGAGCCCATCAGATCGTTGCACAAATCCTTCCACCCGTCGTCGTTTGGAAGGCGCCTACCACGCCAACATCCACACGTCGCGCACAGTGTAAGCACGGGCTCGCCTAATAAGTCGCACGTAGAACCAGATGTTCCAGGGCCTTGCTCGCGGAGAGCTTCGGCGAAATAGCTCTCCTCCTCATCCCCCTCCACCACCAGTCATCATCATGCCCTATCCGTCCTCATCGTTCCTCCTCATGATCATCCTACACATCATCACCTCATCATCGCTACCGTAATCGTCATGATCACATTCATCCTCATCAGCATCAGCATCATCATCAGCATCGCCGTCGTCGTCGTCGTCATCGCCATAAGTCATCATCATCTTATCATCACCACCACCACAACCGCCATCATCATCAGCACCACCATCATCATCGTTAGCACCATCATCATCAGCATGATCATCAGCAGCATCAGCATCAGCATCAGCATCAGCGGCAGCAGCATCAGCATCAGCATCAGCATCATCATCAGCAGCATCATCATCGTTAGCAGTAGCAGCAGTATCAGCATAAGCATCAGCGGCAGCAGCATCCCCGTCGCCGTCACCATCACCACCACCACCACCACCATAAGCACTATCACCATCATATCCTCCTCCTCCTCCTCCTCCTCCTCCTCCTCCCCTCCTCCTCCTCCTCCTCCTCCTCCTCCTCCGAATCCTCGGGCGGGGGAAGGGGTGGATGTTCGTGACCCAGTCCTCCTGGTACTCGCGGCGATCCCGCAGGACCACGCTGCGATCCGCCAGCGAGCGGGGGCTCCACTGCTCCTGGGTGTCCTCCTGGGAGGAGGAGAAAGGAGGAGGAGGAGGAGGAGGAGGAGGACGAGGAGGAGGAGGAGGAGGAAGAGGAGGAGGAGGAAGAGGAGGAGGAGGAGGAGGAGGGAGGAGGATGAGAAGGAAGCGGGAGAGGAGAGAATTGTCACGGCTAGCAGTGATGACACCGGCAGGCCGTCCAGAAACGGCAGGGCGGGGGCGGCGTTGGGTGGGGAGGGGTTACCATCTTCGTGTCTTCAAGCGGGGGATGATGGATAGACACGGTATCGAGGTGCTCAGTGCCGAGCACCAGGCCATGACACCCTCCCCGCATACCCTTCGATGATCCAGTCGAATCTGGCCCTACGGCGTGGCATTTCAAAGGGGCCGCGAACATGATGGCACAATTTTGTTCGAGATCCTTCCCCAAGACAATATCGACCGTCCCGAGCCGTTGCTTGACAGCGCTGGGACCCAGAGACGGCCACTGGCCGCCGAGGATGACCAAGAAAAAACGTCCGCGGCGAATGTGCCGATTCGCCTGGAGGCCTGGGCGTCAAGCCTCAGCATCAGCCCCTGGCCTCAAGTCGGGCGTGTCGCCCTACAGGGGGACTTTTGGGGAAAACTATCTCTATATATATATATATATATATATATAGCACACACAAAAAAACACAAATACCTCACAGATGCTCAAACATGGTCAAAAAAATCGTCCCCATACTATTTTCGACTATTTTGGAACATTCCCCCTGTAGAGGGACAGGCCCGACTTAACCCTGGCTCTGGCCAGTGATGAGCTCTGGCCGGAATTTCGAAGGGGGTCTACAAGCCGGGGCGACGAGGGCGCCCAAGAGGCTCATAAGAGGCCCCAGAACCGCCCAGAGGCACGTAGCCTCAAACCTCGAATCGGCGGCCGACGTGTCATCCACATCCCTACAGGGCAGTTTTTAATACATTGGATTTTTAAAAAGATAGGATCTTTAATACATGATCAATTCATGAATAAGTTTACGCATGAACTCATCGCTGTTTTTAAGACTAAATCCCTGCATTTCTAATACATGATCCGCACGCGGAGCATGTATTAAAAACGGCACTGTACTCACCCCAGATCTCTACGAGGGGACATGGCAGGGGCGTTGATAAAAAATTCAGCATCTGGAGACCAAGCTTATATAGCAGTGCCCTGTCCCTCTGGCGCCCGGTGCGCGGCAGCAGAAAGGGAAGTGAATACACTGCCTATCGAACCTCGACCCTCTGTCTCACGACGAGGGAATCGAGCCGTGGCGGCAAGAAGCTTCCCAGAGACCCAAAAAAGAATGGAGCACGTCCACGAGAATCAATCCTCGAGGTCGATCCTTCCCCCCATCCTACTCATCCTCCTCATCCTCCTTCTCCTCCTCCGCCTCCGACTCCTCCTCCTCCTCCTCCTCCTCCTCCTCCTCCTCCTCCTCCTCCTCCTCCTCCTCCTCTTCCTCCTCCTCCTCCTCGTTCTCCTCGCACGGCGCCAGCGCCCGCCCCCCCTCGCCGATCCTCGAGCCGCCAGAAGCCTCGGCGCTCGATCCTCAGACTTCGCTCCCGACCTTCGGCCTCACGGCGTCGATGGTCAACGACGGGAGGAAAGACCGACCTGGCACCGGCGATGCACCGCCGACAGATCCGCGATAGGCCCCCCCGACACCGCAGCCGCACGCCCTCCCTGGCGCGAAAGGCCCAGGCCGTCGGGCCCCCTGTCGGCGGGGCCGCCGCCTCCCCCGCAATGAGCCCACCCACCCCCGACGTCGTGGCCCCCGACACGACCACGGAGACGAGGACGACGACGACGACGACGACGACGACGACGACGACGACGACGAGGACGACGACGACGACGACGAGGACGACGACGACGACGACGACGACGACGACGAGGACGAGGACGACGAGGACGACGAGGACGACCCTGACGACGACCTGACGACGTGGTCCTCCCACGGAGCCAGCGGCTGCTCCGCGCCCCACGCCTCCCCCGCATGAGCCCACCTTCTCCTCTTCCTCCTCCTCGTCGTTCGCTTCCTCCTCCTCTTCCTCCTCTTCCTCCTCCTCCTTCTCCTCCTCATCCTCCTCCTCCTCCTCCTCCTCCTCGTTCTCCTTCTCCTCCTCCTCCTCCTCCTGTTCCTCCTCCTCCTCCTCCACTTCCTCCTCCTCCTCCTCTTCCTCCTCCTCCTCCTCCCCCTTCTCCTCGCACGGCGACGGGGTCCTCCCACGGAGCCAGCGGCTGCTCCGCGCCCCACGCCGGCTCCGCGGGCAGCCACGGGGAGGACGCGCCGCTGCGCACGGGCGGCGGCAGCACGCGGCTCATCGCGCGGGGCGGCCGCGCGCGCCGCCCACCCCCCGGGCGGAGCGCGCCTTTGGGCCGCCCGTGGGGCCCGTGGCGCGCCCCGGCGCGCGGCCGCGCTGGCGGGCCGCGCGGCTGGCGAGGAAACGTGGGAATGAGGGGGGGGCGGGAGGAGGAGGAGGAGGAGGAGGAGGAGGAGGAGGAGGAACAGCAATGCAAAGCTCGCTGTCGGCTGCGAAAGGGAAGTCGTAAATGAACACGAGCAGTAGCTGTCAATGCGGGCGGAAAGAAGGAAGACGGAAGGGGGGCTGTCGCCGGTGCCCTGGTGGGCCGTCGCCTCCCACCTGCGTGCCGAGAGAAAGGCCCTGGAAGGCGCACCCCACGGGGCCGCGGATTTAAGGCACGAGGGAGGCTGCTGTCGAGACCACGGCCGCATCCATCACCACGGCCACGACAGCCGCGACGTCCACGACGGCCGCGATGCTGCGCGTGACTCGTTCAGGAGAGTCCCTCGTGTGCGCTGTGCTAGGGGATGATTCAGTGCCCAACCGAAAAACTCGGCCAGGCCATGATGAAGGGGCCCCAGGACACACAAATTCGCCGGCCCAACGGGCCAGAGGCGTGCTAAGATCTCCGGTAACTGGTTAACAATATTCTAGTTCGCGCGCGCGGGGCCGCCCCTGGGGGTCTCCGGGCGAAAAATACCCCGGCAGGGTCCCGGCAGACTCGGGTCAGAGATGCCGGACCGGGCAATTTTTCGACACCCCTCACGAGGATCGTGGCCTCCGAGGGGGGAGCCGCAATCGACTAACCCCCCCTCCCGCCCCAAGAGGCCCCCAAGAGCCCCCCAAGAGACCCTGGGGTCCCCCAAGACGACGCCAAGGAGCCCCAAGAGACTCCCAAGAGGTCCCCAAGAGGCCCTAAAGAGGGCTCCAGGGCCGGCGGAATGAGCGAAGCGATTAAATAAATACACACAAATAAAAATATGCCCCATATTTTCCCATATTTTTTGGGTGTCTGTCTTCCCCCCCAGTTCCCATAGTTTCCCATATCTTCTGGGAATCGACGATTACATTGTGTCTGTGTGTTTTTTCCCCTCCTGACATGGGAGCTCCTCGAGAACTCCCACACCAAGTGGGGCGCGACCGGGCCCGTGACATTCTCCCGTGGGGGGGGGGGCCCACGCGTCGTGCCTGCCACGTCGCGGTGCCCACGAGGCTCCACGAGAAAGGAACCCGTATACCTCCAAGAGCGGCCGTCCTACTCGAGAGGTCGAGCCGTGGGGGGGGGGCCCACGTGCCGTGCCTGCTACGTCCCGGTGCCGTGCCCACGACTGGCCACGAGAAGAAACCTTGGAGGAGGAGGAGGAGGAGGAGGAGGAGGAGGAGGAGGAGGAGGAGGAGGAGGAGGAGGAGGAGGGGGAGGAGGAGGAGGAGGAGGGGGAGGAGGAGGAGGAGGAGAAGAAGGAGGAGGAGGAGGAGGAGGAAGAGGAGGAGGAGGAGGAGCAGGAGGGTGTACCTCCGAGAGCGGCCGGCCTGCTCGGGAGGCCGAAGCCGACACGAGCGCGAACGGGCCCAGGATGTGCCCCCCTGATGGCGGCTCGCCCGGCGGGGTACCCCCAGATGCCAGGCGCACGGCACCGCGAGGAGCACGCGTGGAGCGCAGGAGTAGGAGCGGCGAGCCTGCCTGTGGGCGAGCCGGAGTGTGAGAGAGTCTGGGTGCGCGTGGGTCCGAACACGAGTGAGCCTGAGCGGGTGGTCTCGTGTGCGCGGGCGATTGCGAGCACGAGCATCTGTGCAAGCGAGTCTGAGCGCAAGCGAGTGCCTGAGCGGGAGAAGTCGGAGCGCGAGCAACTAAGCTTGAAGAGGGCGCGGGCGGGTCTAGCCGTGGGAGGGGAGGGGGGGGAGGCAGAAGATAAGGAGGAGGCGGCGGCGTCACACGAATAACTGAACCCCATACCTGGGAGATCGAGAGAACCTGAACCCCCGATCCTCGGAACTCGATTATCCTTCCCCCCCTTTCCTCCTCCTCTTCCTCCTCCCCTCTCCCCCGCCATCACATCATTCCCCCCTTGTCCTGACGTTGCGCAGCGAGACGCTCCACGTGTGCGCGCCCAGGATGGGCACGGTGGTGAAAAGGTTCGGCTTGTCCTTGTGAGCCGTGTCCTCAGAAGGGCCCTGGCCAAAGGGCCAATGCCCACGAGGGTGGCACACCAAGGGACAAGGAGGGAAGGGGGGAGAAAGAGAGGAGAAGGAGAGAGAGAAGAAGGGAGGAACGAGGGAAAGCGAGAGGAGGGCGGGGACGGGTGGAAGAGGGAGGGAGGGGAGGGGGCGAAATGGGCGGGGGAGGGGAGGGGGAGGCGAGAGAGGGGAAGGCGGCCACGAGGGGGGGGGAAAGGGGTGGCAGGGAATGGGGGCGACTGAGATCTTGAATTCCCGACAAGGCTCATTTGACTAAGGTCAAGCAAATTATGAATGATGCTGGTACCCACAACGCAGCCAATGCAGGGAATTCGCCGCATGGTACATGTGTGATCAAGAGGGCGGGGTTGCACGCGGTAGAGACTCGAGCTCGTTAGCGGAGCTACATTTCAAATGTCTCCCGCACGCGGCCCACGGGCGAGCCGGCGCCGCCACATGGGCTGAGGTTCGAGGAGCAAATTATTCGGCCTCGCGCTGCCGCGGCGCTGCCGCAGTGCGGCTCTGCGCGAACTCCTTCATGCGGAAGTCTACACTTTCAGGGCGAACCAGCAGGCCTGGCCACCAGCTGGACTACGCGCTGCCCTTATACTCTTTAGTACTTAGCGAGCGTGGACGCCAAATGGTGCAATGTATGTGGTACAGCATACGTGGTGCAATTCACGGTGCGCAATTCACAGCGTCGAACTTGGAGGTGTCAACCCCACTGCTCGCGCAATCATCCCACGCACCCGCCCGCAACCTGGTTCGCAAAACCCATGCGGCTGCTATGGCGGTGACTGCTGGGCACTGGCTGGCGCATCGCTACGGCCGCGATAGCGCGCGTAGGCTCGCGCGCCGAGCAGCCAATTGGTCTGGCACAGCTGATGCGGCTGCGGTGGCGCAGACTAATGGAAACTCCCCAGCGCGTCTCAAAGGCCGTGCTGGCGCGCGGGCACTTCAGTACGGGTCGGTGGCTCGGGCGGGCGCGGTGTCATCACGACGTCAACAAAAGCGGCAACCATGATGATAATACGAATAATGATAGTAATAATAAAAATAATAATAATAACAACAACAACAACAATAACAATAATAATTATAATAATAATAATGGAAATAATAATAATAATAATAATAATAATAATAATAATAATAACAATAATAATAATGATACTAATAATTATTGTTGGTACAAAAAATACTAATAATAATAACAATGTTTGTGGGGATATGATGATGACGACGGCAAGGCCAACGACGACGGCGCCGATGCAGGTGACGACACTGACGATGATGATGTCCATGTGTCGGTGATGAGGCGATTGCCTGGTGATGGCGGCCGTGGCGGCGACCTGTGATGACAACAGCGGCGGTCGCGCGATGGCACTGATGAGGGTGATGGCGAAGAAACGCGCCCGCGGTCGCGCGAGAGCCAATTATTCTGGCGCGACCGACGCGGACCGCGGTGGCCCTGACTGCTGGGAACTTCCCAACGCATCCTGCAGGCCGCGCTGACGCGCGGGCACTTCAGTGCGACTCGGTGGTTCGGGCGGGCGCGGTATCATAGCGACATCGACAACGGCAAATGCGATGATGATGATGATGATGATGATGATGATGATGATGATGATGATGATGATATGATGATATGATGATATGATGATAGCAACGATGCCGGCGACGACAACGACAGCGACGACGGCAAAGCCAATGACGGCGCCGATGCTGATCACGCCGATGACAACGATTGTGACCACATGTCGGTGATGAAGGCTTTGGGAGGATTTCGACATGCGCGCGCGGCCGACAGGCCCGAGTGGCCCGCATAGTGTTTGTTGACTGGGTTCGCGCCCCCCCTGCAAGCGCGCAAGGGCGTTCGGATGATTTCGAAATGCGCGCGCGAGAGGCCCGCGTCGCATTTAATGCTGGAACACCAAGACCGCGCGCGGTTGCTTGAAAGAAAGACGTGTTGTAAGACCACCCATGTGTTGTAGATGTCTTTGGGGACATCGATCCCAAGACATTTCTAAAGAAGAAAGTCTACGCTGTGCAATATATTTTGTGCAATCTCAAACAAAGCCAGGCAACGCCCAGATTGGCGGCGAAAAAGCGGACGACGGGCGGCAACGATTCGGCGATGGGGCGGCGACGGCGACAACGAGGCGGTGGACCCGACACTGGGCCCGGACGACGGGCGGCGACGAGGCGGCAATTGGACGGCGACGGCGACAACAAGGCGGCGGACCCGACACCGGGGCCCAGACAACACGCGGCGACGAGGCAACGACAGGGCTGCGACGGCGACCAACAAGGCGGCGGACCCGACACCAGGGGTCTTGTTTATGACAAAAGTAGAAGCGCCTAAATGCAAGCACGGTTTGGGGAAATATGAACTCCACCACGATCGCGAGCTCGGATGTATCCATACCCTTTGGGATGGTACATCCGATTGCGCCTCATTTACCATGTTGCATACGCAACGCAAACATAAACACACGACCATCCACGCGCGCAAAAAATCGAACCAACACCTACAACAATATGTATGCAACAAATTCAACACAACACGCAGATTCGCATATTTGCGAAGAAACAGCGCCCAGGCAGTTCATCAAAATGATTGCTGCGTCTCTGCCGCGCGCAAGTGCTGAACTGATAGGGGAACATATGACATTACAGACCTCGTCCGCAATTCGCATTGTCATCAACCACGCGGTGCACACCCATTGATATAGCACGCGCCCAACGAACGAAACCATGTCAAATAACTCCATGCGGACCACTCGCGCGCATCGACACGCGCGCGTGTCGAAAATCGGCCAAAAAAGGTTGGTTCTCGAAGCATCTCAGCGTGGAGTTCTTCGACAACTGACGGAAGCGAACAGCTGTCCCACAAAAGTCGATCAGATGTGTTGCATTTATGCGCGCGCGTTCCCTGGCCACCACCCTCAGCGCCATCGCACGACCGCCCTTGTTGTCACCACCACAGTCGCCGCCACTGCCGCCATCGCCAGGCAATCACGTCATCGCCGACACACGGGCATCATCATCGTCATTGTCGTCACCTGCATCGGCGCCGTCGTCGTTGGCCTTGCCGTCGTCATCATCACATCCCCACGATTTCTGTCACTATCATCATCGTTGCTGCTGTTGTTGACGTCATCATGCCACCGCGCCCGCCCGAATCACCGACCCGCACTGAAGTGCCCGCGCGCCAGCACGGCCTTTGAGACGCGCTGGAAAGTTCCCACTGGTAAGCGCCGTCGCAGCCGCATCAGCTGTGCCAAACAAGCTGGCCGCTCTGCGCGCGAGCTTGCACAGGCCAGCGTGGCCGCAGAGATGCGTCAGCCAGTGCCCAGCAGTCACCTGCGGGTGGGAGGGTGCAATGTTTGCGCGAGCAGTGGAGCTGACATCGCATGAGTAACGTTTGCAAAGTTCTACTGAAACTTATACACCTTCTGACACCCACCAGCCGATCCACGCTGCGCACACTTTCAGAGCGCGGTAGGTAGACGGCGTGGCAGGCAATGAGCATAAGATGCCCCACACACACGTTGTGCGTCACCAGCATGGAAATAGTTCGATGATATGCATCCGTTCAAGGCATACACGCCGCGACTGCACTTGCGGTGGAGATTCACCCCAGTGGAGGAGCATGAGGCAAGCCCCTTCATGGCGGCGCAGTTACTTGATCGAGCCTTCACCATTGCCAGGAGCCCCGAGGTCGTGAGAGACGGCATTCGACACGAAGGTGATGCAGCGTTGAAAATATCTCGACAAGACGAGATTTATCATGCGAATGGAATAGTCACCACCCCCACGGACGTGAGTCAAGCAGCGCCAGTCTCAATGTTTTCCTCGCATCCTTGAGTTCGTCCTGGTTATGGGCGATCTCCATCTGGTCCTCTCAAGAGTCCTAGTGGAAGAGATGAAGACCGCCACACAGGGCTGAATGGCTCCACGAAGGGCCCCAGAAAGGTACAAGTCGTCGAAATCATAAAGTGTGCAAGATGTTCGGCAGTCTCTACAAATTGGCTTCAGATGCCTCCAAGATAGGGTCCCCGCGAGAGACATCCATGCTGGCCTCAACATGGCCCCAGAGGCACCCCCATGACTGCCCTTCATGATGAGTATGTTTTCCACCACGACCACCATAAGTTGTAGGGGGAAAGGAGGAGGGCGGGGAGGAGGAGGACGAAGAGGAGGAGGAGGAGGAGGAGGAGGAGGGCCCCCCTCCAACTTATGGTGGCGGTGGTGGAACACACACCCATCACTTTAAGACGTTCCCAAGACGGTTCCCATTCGGCTCAACCCCAAGATGGTCCCGAACCCTGCCAGCAAACGGCTCCGAGACCGTCCAAAGTGGCCGCCAGACCTCCCGACGTCCCCCTCGGGACAAGAAGATGTCACTGAGAAGGCCCCCAGAGAGCTCAAGAGAGCCCGAAGAGAGTCTCACAAGCAAGGCAGCCCCAAGGCGGCCCCCGTATGGCCCCTACGGGCCCAAGCGTTTGGCCACATGCGTATCGGGGCCATGCCCTCGAATGCACACTGGTTGACAAAGCTTCCTCTCGGGGGGGGGGGCGCTTTTCCAAGCACTGTGTGCCAGACAGGCGCGGCTGAGCAACTGGATTTCTATTGCCGAAGAACGCCTGCTACTCTGCAACAGTCTGGTAGTTCCTCTCGGCGAAGCTGTGTGCTGCCAGGAGTCCTAGAAAAACTACGAACCCACAAAACGCCTTGAGATACGCCCCAGCAAGCACTTCTGTCCCTGCCTGTTCAGCTGGCGTATAGAATTTTGCCAACCCGCAGCCACAATTCAAGAGCATGGCTAATTCAGATACGAAGAGTGCACATCGGAGCATGCGGAGGCCCCCAGGTTTGGAAGAGAAGCCACTCGAACAGAGCACTCACAAAAGCATTCAATTCCTCTCTCGCACACAGATCCGCACCCCAAATATTCCCCCAACTGTTAAAATTGAAAAACACGGCTGTGAACAAGCGAATAGTCAAATTGCAAACCTGGCGGTGCCAAAGCAGACCGCTGCCGCAACACGTAAGAGTCAAGAACGTGTATGGCAAAATTCGAACCGATGAGCCAACGCCGATTTCGACTACTTATACGACACTCAAATTCGAGTCGGCTTCAGCCGAAAAAGGCTACGGATAGGTAAGTTATACCTCGCGACTCAAGCATGCATGCACTTTCGGGGGGCGATCGCGGCCTCGCGCGCGGCGATGAGGCGGAGCAAGTCGAGCGAGCGGCACAGCGCTAACGCGCGCAGCCAGGATACACGGACACACACGCACACACACACTTTTGAGCGGTCGCGGCCTCGCGCGCAACGAGGCGAAACAAGTCGAGCGAGACATAGTACTAATGCGCGCGGCCACGCCCTCAGACGCCAGACCGCAGTGGTTATCCCGCACATACCCACCCAGGCAAGGGTGGCGGCTGAGAAAATTGAGGCAACGTCCGAAGATGGAGACGGCAGTACCCGACGACCAAACCGTCCAAAAAGGGATGACGTCGGGTCTGACGACCTAACGAGCTAGACAGCTTGGAGCGTGCGCGGGAGCGTGCACTGGTAGCAAGTGGCACAGCCGCCACAAGGCGGGATGACAGGGAAGAAGACCTGCGGCAGCGGGCAGCTGCAGCACGAGGCGAAGAGACGCAAGGACGCGCTGGGCTAGCGCCACACACACAAAACATAACGGATGCACGTGCGGATGTATTGGGTCGTCGATGGGCCCCTTTCCCCAGCATGTGCAGCACGCTGAGGGCGGCGCCAGAGGCGTCTCCCACTTGTAGAATGCGCATGTGTTTCTTTACTTCCCGCCTGGTCCCCGGGCTTCGCCCGCCCCCGGCCGCGTGACGCCCCGCCTGTCCCCGCCCGTTCTCTGCCAATTAAAGCTGTGCGCGTCCCGCGGAGCTTTCAGCGGAAGAGGCTCGCTCTCGCCCTGCAGATCAAAAAAAAGTGTTTCTTTACTTCCCGAGTGGGACGATGTCCGCTGCGGCCTGACTCTGCCTGTGCACTGCGGGGCGCCGCGGCCCTGCCTCATGGGCCAGCTGCTCTGGAGAAGCGGCCCCCGTGGGGGCGCTCTGGGGCTCCTGTCTGAGTCATCCTTCTGCAGGGGGGAGGCAGCCCCTTGTGCAGCGTAAGAGCGGATTCATGTCGCACTCCTGGGAGGTGCTCAGCATCTGGCGCTCGACGGTACGGCAAAATAAGAAGAGCTGCAAGATATCCGTTAGCCCGTAGACGATTGGCATTGATATAGAAGGCTGGCGAGTGCTTGCTTGGGAAAGCTCCGAAACCAACACTGACATCATCGACAGCTTCGGGCAGCAGTGAAACGCGAGCCCAGAAGTGACATATGCGGGACACGCATCGGCGCCTTGACAAGCTAGAATAAGCAGGAATAAGGGGGAGGTCGAGCAGCAGAAGCAGGACGACGAGGACAAGGACGAGGAGGAGAAGCAGAAGGAGGTGCAGAAAAGGACGATCGGGAGGGAGAGAGGGACCAAGGGAGGGGAAGGTCCTTCCAGATCACGTACCCGTCGGATCCAGGCTTCGCCTGGCAGGCGGTGTAGCGCCCAACACCATCCAGGGGGGAGCAGGAGGGAAGAGAAAGTGGTGGGGGAGGAAGCGAAGGAAGAAGAAAAAAAGAGAAGAAGCCGAAGGAGAGGAGCAACAGCAGCACGAGGGCCCTTGTACACTCCAACCACGTCAGTAGGAGTGGGAGGTAGAGGAGGAGGACGACGACGACGAAGACGAGGAAGACGAGGAGGAGGAGCGGCAGGACAGAGAAGAGAAACGCCTCTCCGCCGTACCTTTTTCCCCTCATAGTCACAGCTGTCATTATCCGCATCCTCACCCCACCTTCTCATTGCGCCCTCCCGACCATTACCCTTGGCATCGTCCCTCTCACCCACCTCTTCGTCTTCATTATCACCCACATTACCAGTCCAGAACACGGCGGTCATAGACTACCCCAAGGCATACCTCAGGCTCTAGCGCAGCCTGGGGTAAACCGCAGGTCGGGCTGGCGCACCCAAGCGCGCGGGCGGTAGTTCGGTCGCACGGTGTTCCGTCGGTCGGACGGTCGGTCTGACGGTCGGTCGCTCGGTCGCGCCGTCGGCTGGGCGGTCTGTCGGTCGGGCGGGTGCTCGGTCGCGCGATCGGTTGGTCGGTCGTGCGGTCGGTCGGGCGGGCGATCATATTGACGGTCGGTCGGGCGGGCGGTGGTGCGATCGGTAAAAGGGTCTGGCGATCAGCTGGTCGGCGAGTCGGACGGCTGGTTGGTCGGGCGGTCGGCCTCGTGCAAGGCCCAGGGTGGGATTAGGACAAGCCTGAAGGTAAGGTCTAGGGTTCGGCCTAGGAGAAGCCCTAACGGTGGTAGGGCTCAGGGTCAAGACGCCCTCCCCGCCCGCAAGCCGTCCCGCTCACTCCCACCCGCCCTCCCAACACATACGTAGCATCCGAGCCCGGCCCGAGCCGCGGCATATGCAGCAGTCGTGTTTGGATTGGCAGCTACTGGGGGCGAATCCGCCGCCGCCGCCGCCGCCTCAGCCGCCGCCGCCCCCGCTGCCGAAGCGACGGCGCCGCAGCCGCTGCCGCCGAAGCCGCTGCCGCCACCGCTGCCGCCGCCGCCGCCACCGCCCCCGCCGCCACCGCCGCCACCGCCGCCGCCGCCGCCACCGCCGCCGCCACCGCCACAGCCGCCGCAGCCGCTGCCCCCGCCGCAGCCGCCGCAGCCGCAGCCGCCAAGTGTACTCTGTATTGTTTGTTGACAGGGATGGTGGGGGGGGCCGCATCGGATTCGCTGCGCATGCTCCGAATTTGGAGGCAGAGTGTGTCTTGTATTGTTTTTTACAAGGGATGGTGGGGCTCGTGTTGGCTCCCAGTCGCCTGGGGGAAGGGGTGTATATCAATAGGGAACAATGATAAACTTGGGAGTAGGCCCAGGAGTGGGGCGTAGGACAGGCCTAGGGTAAACCTGGGGTAGGGCCTAGGGTTCTGGGTAGGGCAGGCCGTCCTCCCGGGCTCAATGGCAATACCATCATGATTATCATGATTATCAGCATCACCATGTATCTTGTTCCTCTATACTCCTCCTGATCCTCCTCCGCCTCCGCCTCTCCTCCTGCACCTCCCTACTATCCTTCTCTACACTACTCACCCTTTCACCCTTCCTTCTGCTGCTGCTTGTGACCCCCATGCACATGGAGAAGGTGTTTACGCCGAATGTGTCCAGCAGCGTCAGCGATTTGGTCGTCTCCAGCGCCGAGTCGATCGCGTCCCGCGCGGAATTCGTGACCTACGTAAGCGGGAGCAGCCAAACCCAAGCTAAGGAACAGGGAGAGAAGGTCAGTGGAGGGAAGAAGAGGAGGGGGCGGGCATAAAGTGAGGAGAGGGGCATGAAAAAAAGCAAACTCAAGTGATCCCGAGCACTCATCCTTCCTCTCCTTGGGCCAATCCCGCGCGGTCAGAGAGACCACGGAGTTGCTGCCAGTCAGCGTCACAACTACCAGCAAGGCCTCCGCCGGTGGTCTCTTCCCGTCGTCGAAATACTTGGTCACGCTGTCCAAGGTCTTCTGGGCCTCGGCAGCGCCACCGATGAGCGGAGGAGGAGGAGGAAGAGGAGGAGGAGGAGGAGAAGGGGAGGAGGAGGAGGAGGAGGAGGAGGAGCAGGAGGAGGAGGAGAAGGGGAGGAGGAGGAGAAGGGGAGGAGGAGGAGGGGAGGAGGAGAGGGGGCGGCCGACCAGCTCGGCCGTTGAGACGGCCTGGATCGCTGACCCGTGCCCCGGGTCGGAGACCTGCCCCAGATCGGAACGCACACCGGGACCAGGGCAGGGCGTACCCGGCTTTACCCCGCTCTACACGCAACCTTGCCGGGGGGTCAAGGACTCTTGTGTGGATGCCGCCCAGTGCACCTGGCTACCAAAGATGCCCGCATCGCTTCCATCGTCTACTCACCCCCGTGCCAGCCGAAACGGAGGTCAGCGCCATCATCAAGAGTCTTGTCGCTGGCCGACCGACAAGGTTTGCTCCCCCATGGCATTTGGCATGGACGAGAATGAGGGGGAAGGGGAAGGAGAGGGACGAGAAATAGGACGAGGGGGAATCGAGTCCAGTCGAGTTCATGGACGATGTCTGGGCGTCTTGCACGTGCGCGAAGAGGACGAGGAGCAGCACTAGGACAAGGACATGGAGATGGAGGAGGAGCAGCAGCAGCAGGACGACGACGACGACGACGAGGATGAGGAGAGAGGAGGACGGGAACGAGAACGAGGAGCAGGAAAGAGAACAGGACGAGGACGAGGACGACGACGTCGACGAGAAGGACGAAGACCTCCTCCTACCTCCCCCTCCTGTCTCCGACCTCTTCCGACCTCCTCCTCCTCCTTCTCCTCCTCCTCCTCCCCCTCCTCCGACCTCATCATCATCATCCTACCTGTCCAATAAAATCACCGGACAAACCCCGGAATACCCGGACAACCCCAGCAAGATGCATACCATAAGCGCCCCAGCATGTAATTGTGGCTGGCGCTCGCAGCACAATACCCACTTAGGGATGTGGCCGGCGCTGACGCAAGAACACCTCCTCCTCCCCCACCACCTCCTCCTCCTCCTCCTCCGCCTCCTTCCTCCCCCCCTCCTCTCCTTCTCCTCCTCCTCCTCCCTCCCTCTCCTCCTCCTCCTCCTCATCAGCAGCAGCAGCATCACAATCATAATCATCATCATCATCATCATCATCATCATCATCATCATCATCATCATCATCATCATCATCATCATCATCATCATCATCATCATCATCATCATCATCATCATCATCCATCATCATCATCATCATCATCATCATCATCGTCATCATCACCATCATCATCATCATCATCATCATCATCATAATCAGCATCATCGGCAGCATCAGCATCAGCATCATCATCATCATCAGCATCATCATCATCGTTATCATCATCAGCATCATCATGACATTCATCATCAACATCATAATCATCATCATCATCATCATCATCATCATCATCATCATCCTCATCCTCATACTCCTCCTCCTCCTCATCAGCATCATCATCACCACCACCACCACCACCATCATCATCATCAGCAGCAGCAGAACGAGCAGCATCAACATCATCACCACCACCACCATCATCATCATCATCATCATCATCATCGTCATCGTCATGATCATACTCAGAATCATCATCATCAGCAGTATCATCATCGTCATCATTAGCATCAGCATCAGCATCAGCATCATCGTCATCATCCGCATCACAATCATCAGCATCACCATCATCCTCATCATCATCACCATCATTCATCCATCCATCCATCCATCCAACCTCGATCCATTATCATCCCTCTTCGATTTCCATCTACCTGCCTCTCATCCTTCGTCATCATCATCCCTTCCTTCTGACAGATCCTTCCTCCCTCATCCCTCTCTCCACTTCCTCCTACTATTTTCCAGCATCCTGTTATCTTCTTACACCCCTTCCGTCCTCCACCTCCTCGTCCTCCTTCTGCTATCCCATGCCCCATGGCCGGCCCCAGAGCCCATCATGGGCCCCCCGCGTTCGTCCATGCGTCCGCCGCGGGCGTCTCAGGAGGGCCGATGCCCGCTATCGCGTTGAACTCGGCGCTCTTCAGGATGGACATCTTCGCGTCCACGACCTCGTCGCGAAGAGGCAAGAACACTCAGTATCCAATCGCGAAATCGGGTCAGATCGGAGCGTGTATCGAACCGGACCGCATCGGCACGGAGTTGAAAATCGAATCGAATCGGCGGCGCCAGGATGCACAACAACGCTTTGGAAGCATCGGGCCCCATCGGATCGCCCGAAGTCGGACTCGAGTCGAATCGGGCTGGCCAGAGCCGATATCGAATCGGATCTATCGGATCGAAAAGGGCCATGAGAGGTGAAAAGCCAGGTGCCGAGCACTGCGGGGCGATGGAGGGGAAAGGCAAACAAGAAAAACGCCAATATCCACACACGCCTCCACACACCCCGATCGGTGGCTGGGCTGGTTCTGGGCCCTGAATTGGTGGACGCGCCCTCTCAGCTGGGATCGGCGTTGGTGGACATCGGGCGCTCCCATAGAGGAAGCGAGAGAACGATCTAGGAGCGGCCCAGAGAATCAGAAAACCACGCAACCCAGACATGGAGACCCCGTCGCGTCAGTGCGTGCGGGACAGGAGGCCAGTTTAAAGTGAGGGGGGGAACCCAAACAGATTACGCCTGAGGCGTAGTATACGTTCAACCCTGCTGTATCGTATCAACGATAGAGCAAAGAGGTAGGAGATGGCCGCGGGAACGGCAAGGGGACATCTCAAAGGATTGTTTTTCCCAGATCGATGTCAGATAGCGGGCCGCAGTGCGACCCGGTCTAATCGGCGGCCGGTCGCTTGAGCCCAAGCGGCCGCGGACACACGCTCGATACCTGTCGTTTTTGCCCTTTCCCCCTTCAGTCAGAGGGGGTGAAAACGAAACGTGAGTCCGGGTCCGGACCAACTCGGCAAAACAGCTACGCTAGCAGCAGCCAGCGGGCTCAACCTTAGCATGCCACCCCGACGCTTATTACTCCTCGGGCGGCTCAGATGCTTTCGTCTGGCCAGCCGTGTAGGGAGCGTGCCTCTTCAAGTCGTGCCTGAAGGATTGCATTCCATCCATACTTTGTGAAAGCATATATCGGTCAATGCTCCCCTTGGTGTGACCATCTGCAATCATGTCGCGGGTGTCACACCACTGCACGCCATGCACGAAACCGCGCTCCATCACTTGCCGTATCCAACGGACGTGACACAGGAGGATACATTAAGCCGACTTCTGCAGATCTTTGCTAAGGACTTGAAGACACTTTCCGCATCAATGGTCAGGGTGACCTTAATGCTGAGGCCGCCCATCTCAGGAATATCCTTCACTCGAGAAGGTGTCAACGGCCCTGCGTGGAGCTCATGTAGCGTAGCAATTGTGGAATAGCAGTCCTCCAAGTTATGAGCTGCTGCTAGTGTTTCAGCCGAATAGCTAGAACAGACCTGCAAGCGATGAGATTTGCAATACGCGTCGACCAGATGCACCGCAAGTTTGCCCGGCGAATACCATAACCTTTGACCTCGTCATCGGCCTCGCCGCTCAAGCGATAATAGCTGGAGTCGTTGTGCAGATCTACCTCGCCCGTCGGTGGTATCGCTTTAGAAACGATCTCATTAGGGTAGGCCTGGAGCCTGGAGCTTCCTGGTAGTCGCGCTGAATCGTCACACTTGTATGTTGGTCGGTTATTGGAGACGCTGCAATGAGACAACAGATACAATTGCGAGCATTTGTGCGCGAAGGGCGTAGACCAGAGCGCCTCTTGGGCTAACAAACACGTCAGTGACTATATTCGACGCTTTGGCCTCAGCATCTGCGCCTGTGAATTCGCGGTGCTGGGTGGAACGGAGCTGTCTTATGTATTCGTCTTGGTCAAGAGTAACATTGCGGTCGCTGTCCTTAGCATACCTCACAGCACAGTTGATACATGCATGTCTTTTGCGTGTACATGTCCTTAAAGTATCCTCTACACACTTACCGCATGTGTCATTGGTGTCCTCAGTACCGGCCACGTTTGTACCATCAACATGTTTGGCAGTAGGAAGGCGAGGGCTCGCCTAACTCCTCGTCGCAAGACGTGGGTCTGAGTTCCAAGCCCGTCGTGGTCTTCCTGAGTTTCAATGAGAGGGGTCTTGGTTCATCTTTGGTGTCGGTGGCTGGTTTGTGGCACGGTAGACAGTCTCTTGATCCACCATAGTGCTCAAATCCAGGAAGCGATATGATTGCTGATGCCGGACCAGGCGGCGCGGTAAAGCACGCCGCACGTTCCTTGTCACTGGTCGCTTCAGCGAGCTCTTGATATGCGAGCACCTCCAAGAGGGCCATGTTGATGTCCAGGGAATCAATGATCCACTGCTTCCTGCACGCTGCCGCGCTGGCGAGCAATCGCCAGCTCGACCGCCGCGCCGTTCCTGAGAACGCTTCCACATCGAAGGTTCCGAGGTCCACGAGGCCCCGGCGCGCCAGGCATAGCCTGATGGCACGTCCCCTTTGGCCCTTTTCATGTTTACGGAATCCCCACTTACATACGCACATTGAAGTCAAGATGTTTGACGCTTTGGATATAGATTGCAGCTGGGAACACTTGTTGTCAGACCATGTCTTGAGTTCAGTATATAAGGCTTTCGACACCTTGACTGGATCCACCTGGATAGCTGCCCCCGCGGAGAAGTCGCCCTCCCTCCTTGGCGACCGCAGCTCGTTTAGCTGCAGCGGCCACAGATACTCGCATCGCGGCAACGCGGTCGAAGTCCAACATCCCATGTTGTTGTTCGGATAAGACTACTTTCGACACCCCTGTCGTAGAGCAGAGCTCCACATTTTGTTCGTGCTCGTCGGAGTCTCATCCATAACTGCGATCTTCGCCCGTGGAACATAATGGGACATGAAACGTCCAAGTTGTGTAGATGTCTGTGGGTTACCCCACGCAGGCAAGTGCCCTTGCCGCCCTTCAGCTACAGCGACCAGCACGCTGTTGTCAGAAACCATGTGCGCGGTCACAATACACGGTTCTTCCACTCGGGTTGCCTCCAGCAGCCCCGTTTCGTCGCGTAGTTCTGCATGCCACGCTTCCACGATGCGTGCCCCGAGGTACGCTTCTGATTCCCCATAGATTGTGGGAAGCCTGACACCCTCCTTGGGCGGTTCGGCTTCTGAGGCCTCCCGGGTATCACTGCCTTGCGTTGGAATGTCTGCCAATTCTTCGAACATCGCCATGTCTTGATCGGAAACCGCCGGTGGTCTGTTGGACTTCAGGCACTGGGTGGTTCTAGAGTGTGCAGATCCAATTTTATCTTGCATATTTAGAGCAGAGCCTTCAGCATCATAATAATGGAAACCTGGGTTCGCGTCATTTAATCGCGCACCTGCGCACAACTGTCAGCATGAGTTACCGGAGGTAACTTGTAAATGCTCCTAGCTAGCCTAACAGAAACCACGTGCTCGATACCCATTAAGTTTCTGATACGATACTGGAGATCTAAGTGTACCTTTGAAGATAATCGGCTCGCCCTCGTCATTTGGAGCACTCCCTTTTTGGTCGGGGGGTAGCCGAAGGGCATAGCAGGCCCCCCCGCAGGCAAACTGGCTACGAAGGCCAACACAGTCCGCAGCGCTGCGTTGCCCGACCCAATGTCTCTTGTAATCAGAAATTCGATATAGAGCGAGTGTCTTGCATCACCGCACTGGACCTGTACATCGCAATTCCCAACTCGCACGACAACTCGACACCTCTCGGGATTCCAGGCACCCCAGTCGTCTTTCGCGGTTGAGGGGCGATGGCAGTCAACAAGACCACCCTCGTTGTAGTAGTGCTGACCAGTGGTGGTCGTCTTGGTTCGTAGTGCACGGTTTGCCTTTGCTGTTGCTGTGGCTCGCACGATTGCCTCGATGCTTCAATGACGAACAGGCTGCTCCGGATAGCGATCGGACGCCCCCGTCTGTTTGTCGTGGTCTAGAACAGGCAGGTCGGGAAGCATAACTGGCTGTCGGCCAAATAATACGTTACATGGTGATACCTCGTCGTAAAAAGTAACGCAACGCTGGCCAGCAGAGCCCCATGCAGTAGTCGGGCGAACACAAGTGGCATGTCTAACCTGTTTTCAGCCTCCATGACGTGAAGCATGTGTCGTAGCATGTCATTTCTGGCTTCAATGGTAGTAGCGCGTTGTCCACGCGCGCGCATTCTCGGCCGAGTTCCTTTTGCATCAAGAACTGCCTTCGCAACCTCGTCATTGAGGGCACCCTGTCCGTCAGAGCACAATACTTCTGGCAGGCCCATAATACATCCAGCACTGATGGTACGCATCTAGGATGCCGGTCATAGTTTTGTCCGGCATCTCGACTCCAGCACCGCATCGAATGCAACGATCGACTATGTAAAACACCTCATGCTCCAGCTTGAAGAACAGTGAGTCGCATTCGACTTCACCATTGATATTGCCAGGTAGCGCGGTAGACGACATTTTAGCCTGCCCAAGCTTTTCCCAAGCCCTACACTCCCAGCATGTAGCACAGACGCCGTTTGTCAGGTTTAACCTAACACTATCCAGGCCAGCCTTGGTTAAGATGAATATCATTTTGGGCCTCTTGGCGTGGAACCATCTTAGATGTAGTTCCACGTCAAACCTTGACCAGTCTGGAAGTCTTGGACGCGCAGCAGGGTCACCCGCAGGTGGCGGCGGAGGTGGATCACCTCCCCGCCGTCGTCCACGTCTGGCAACTACCTGTGGTAGTCGTCTGTGGTCGTCCGAGCTGCTGGCGCCACTTGGCTCTGCGGCATGTCTACCCACTGCGACGTCGCGGCTACCGGCCCCCGCAGTCGGTCCAGCTCTGAGGCCAGGCTTCGAAGCACGTGGCCGCGCAACTTGTCTGGTAGCTGGCGCCTCAGAAGTGGCTGCCGCCGCAGGTGGCGGCGCATCGGAAGCAGCTGCCGCCGCGGGGGGTGGAGCATCGGAAGCAGCTGCCGCCGCAGGTGGCGGGGCTGCCAGTTCAGCAGGGGCTGGCGGCCCCTGCCCACGTCTGTCTGGCAGTTTCCACGGTTTGGCACATTTGCATTTCCCAGGGTAAGTATGTGGCCAGGTT